CACTTTTTATAAAGACTCACTTAATTTTATGGAAGTAGATAGTTGTCCAAATTTCCAAAATTAGCTTTCAAAAGACTTCTGTTTTTAAACCCAAATGACTTTCACTCACTTTAACCAGTTCACATTAGAATATGAAGTTGAAAAAAAAAAAAAAAGAATTACAAGTTGCACAGCCAATGGGGGGGTTACTAGCATTCTACCAGATTATTCACTATTTACTCACAAAGTGAGATGGTCTCATTTTTCATGTAGGAGCCAGATCAGGGAGGAGTTTCACAATTTATCTCATCTTCTACTTAATATCCTTCCCCCATCATGGACTTGCCTATGTCCCACCATCCTCATGAATTTCACTCACGAATCCTGAACATCAAGATTATCTTACCACAAGGAATGAAGTGTTGCCAAGGTTTCTTTATTTTCAAGTAGAATTCTGATTAAAATACCGAGTTTCTGCTGAAATTTAAAGATGTATTTTGTTTATGCAGACACATCTCAGTGAAATAAATGTATTGTGAGTCTCAAATCTGTGTCAATTCACAGCCAACTTTCACCCTCCCCTCCTGCCCTCCCTATCTTCACTGTGTCCTGTAGCAGTCAGAGAGAGACACACAATCCCAGACAAGAATAAACTTTAGACATCGGCCATGTATTCAATTTTTCATTTTACAGGAAAAGAAAAAAAACAGCTGAAGCCCACAAAGGTTAAGAGATGTTTTACATGATCCAACTTGCTGATAGATTTGGGACAAAATCCAAGATTCTGCATTTCTATATTCTTTTCATGCATTTTTCAATTCATTTTTGCATCACTCTAGGGTTTACTTTGCTCACTCACTTAAGTTTGTCAGTGCTCTTGTTTCTGCCCTTGTCCTGCATGGTACCCACCGAGCAGAGCATCAGTTGTGGTTAGTCCAATGCCCAACCTGTTGAGTAATTTTGGAGAAAATCACCCAACTGGGAAAGTTGCTCTCACTTTAATTTCAGAGCCTCACCCTCTTCTGGCACACTGATGCTGCCCAGATGTGTTCCATAGTTCTATATTTCCATGAGTGCTACCTTCCATAGTGAGCACTCATGTTCATCACAACAGTGATTCCAATTCCAAACTTCCTCTACTGTTCTCAAGCCTCTGACTTGTTGGGCATCTTTGAATCTTATGTCCTAGAGAAAACACACACAATCCAACTTCTTGCCATCAAATTTCTCATCTGCCATCTTTACATTCTTTGCTCCACCCATTAAATGAGTGATGAGTTTTCTACTTAAAAATAGTCTTCATGCTTGTAGGATTTGGGTCATATCCTTTTATATCATATCTTCTTCAGGACTCCCAAGGAATTTGTTCAATTATCTTACCTCTTTCTCAAATTTTCACCACTCCCACAGGCTTCTTCCCATAAGCATTTAAACATATTCCTGCTAATAATAGTAAATTAACATCTTTTCTACCCAGTGGTATGCCTGAAACATTTAGCAACTGGCTCAACTGGGAAGCAAAAGAGTTCTGATTTGTAGTATTTGACAATTTCTTTGGTGTAAATGTTTCCATTGTGACTAATTAAAGCTACTGAATGAGAAAGAGATATGCACAGCTGGTTTCTTGTGTGAGCCAGGTCAGCACACATGGTCTCTCTTCTGCCTTCCAAATATTATACAAACCTGTTTCACTGATGAAAATTAATACAAATTTAGAGTTTTGCTGTCAAAGGAAACTAGGACATATATAACACTCAAATTTGTAGCCCCCGCAATACAGGCTAAAGCAAAGAAGGAAATAACCAAGTATGCCAAGAGCCAAGTAGATAATCTCTAGGTCATGTAACAGACCGACTAATGTTACTTCCTATTTCCCCATTTCGAGCAACCAACAAAAATCCTTGTTGAATTCATCTGTATCATGTCCCAGTTCTGAAATGATGTTCCAGTTCTGTATGCCTCATTTGAAAATTAGTGTTTAAGCAGGCACAACAATACTAATTCTAGCTCCCATTTATAGAGCCATTGTAATGTGCAAGTATTACTCTAGGCTTTACATGCATTACTCCATTTAGTCTTCCTGGCAATTTCATGTGATAGGTTTACTATTATCCTATTTCACAGATGAGGAAACTGAAAAGTTGGATGATTACATAAACATCCCAGGTCACAGCTATTGAATAGGTGCACATTTCAAACTTAAATTGTTTGACTCCAAAACTGCTTTACTTATGTCTCTAAAATATTTTACCTTAAACAAACTACAGTATTACATGGATTAGTTCTGCTTCTAAGCACCACCTTGGTAACATACCTGATAGCATCAAGTATGTCATAGAATCAATATCTCGATTTAGTTCTGGGAATACATTGCACTAACAATCATCCAAAGCTATTTGAAAATAATGCAATAAGCTCCTATCAAGAAAGGAGAAAAAAAATATAATTTCTATTTCACAACAATGTAACCCTGAGTGTCTCCCTTTCCCCTGTTTCCATCATTAGTGCTTAAAGTTTGGATCCCTTCTATTCTGTTTTAAATGAAAAAGCCTTCTTGTTATTAGTGCCACTGAGCTTAAATATATAAAAAAAAAACTAAATAATCATTATAATTTCAAAAGGGAAGAAAAAGGTGGAGAAACAAAAGTCAATTGTATTTTTTAGTAAACACAAATTTGCTAGATTAAAGACATTTTATGTTTCCAGGTATAGAAACTGGTTTTAATGTGCAAGTTATACATTTGTACATTGCTTAGAATCAGCTCTCTAGCTTTTCAAGTGCTTTGTCTTGTCCAGCAAAATATTTTCATGTCACACTTGCATACCTTGCATTCCCTTTTCTAGATTCTCCTTTGAAAGCAAGCATCTCTTTGTAAAAAGCCATTAAATGACAAGTGTGCTTTTTACCTATATAATTTCAGGTTAATTACATGGCTGCATATTGGTTTAAACTAAAGTAATTGTGCTATCCTTTTTCCTTAGTCAATCATTAATTTAAAAGTAAATAAGTAAGAGGGCGTATTTGTCAGGAAGGAGCCATTCTTTGAAGAGTGGTGGGCTTGATTTCAGGGGCAGGTGCTGTCTGTGTGGGACACCATATCAAGTCTGGCCATGATTTTGCCAAGGTATGCTGTATTTGTGCCAACTCATTGCCTTGAATGCCCTCAGTGCTTGTCAAACACAAGAAAGTAAAATGTTTCTCAGCTATGTGTTATCAGCTTGAGGCCAGTTCAGAGTATCAGATGATCTAAACACAGCAAGATATTGAGAACCCTGAGGTTTACATTTCTTTCATCAACTTCAACTTGATCATCAATCCAATTATCTAGTGATAAGCCAAGAAAAAAATTTTTAGTGGTTGTTGCATTATTTAAAATAAAGCACTGTGCTGCTTAGTTGACCTTATTTGTCAAAGGAAATTCAGAATTTCAAGAATCAGAGATACTTCTCTATGAGCAGTAGACAAACAAATTGCTCTTCTCTTGTAAAGGTTTTTTTGTGGCTTCTTTGTTATTAGCCATATCAGCTCTAAGAAGTCTTAGCTATGAGATATGTGGTCATGGCCAACTGGAGTTAAATCAGATAAGTTACACTTAATTTAATAATCATATCATAAATCATTACTGAAAGTTGAAGAAAGCAAATGTGGACCTTTGGGCAGGAATGTCACTAAGAACGCCAAACTTGTTTCCAAAACAAGCAAAAGTTGACTATTCCTAGTGCAAATTGACACAAGCATTAACCCACAACATTAACAAACACACACAAAAATGCAGTAAGTTTAATGCCTGTAAATGTGGTCTCCCATCTCAGCACAAACTGCTGTGTCTGGGAATAAATGAGTATTTATCATTTCCTGAATTCTGCTCTGGCCAGTGGCCAACAGAGAATGTACATCAAAAGTAGAAGAGATGGGAGGTAGGACTTGGTTCCAAATTGATCTGAATAATGATAGCAAACTTAAAAGCTGCCTCCCTGCTTTTAAGGTTCACTGTTGTCTGTTTTCAAGAGTAAAAGAAAACATTCAAGAAAATAACAGGAAGCCAGTTTACAGCTCAGAGAGAATCTTGCTTGATTTGATCCCCTTACAGCATCGCATTATCCTCTGTATGAAAGCAGAGCTCACCCCTGCCAAACCCTGAAATGCGTAAAATGGAAATGAGGAGGGAAAACGCCTTTGCCACTCATCTGTTTCTGTCTTAGGAAATGTCTCCAGTGCATCTGCTTGCTGTCTCACCCAGACATTTTATGTGACCACATTAAATAAGGCAGAAGCCATGGAGGGGCAAACCTGGATGAGTGCTGGCTGGACCCATCTCTTAGCAAGTCCCAGGTGCATTTATCTTCATAAAACACCCACACAAAGGGAATCTCCAGTCTTTCAAACCCAGAAGTCACTTGCTCCCTAATCATGTTAAGTCTTGCTTGGAATTCTGAGGCAACTTCCTGCAAAATGTCATCAAGTTTACTATTTAGCAAATTCAGGAAAATGCACAGGTTAAAAATATCTATTCTGGCTCATTGTACTAAAAGCAATATAACTAATTACATTTTTTTATCCAAGGTGGAGATATTCCAATAACTATCTTGAATAAGGAGGTATCATCTTAGTATAGAAATGTTTATTACGGATTCATTTATTAACAATTTCACTGAAAAAATAGTTGAATGAAAGAAACATGAAGTAGGTGATAACTTCTCTTACATCTGTAACTATAAGAGCAGCCCTTGCAGTCCCTGATTTTCTGAAGGCGTGGGGTCCCCAGCTGAGCAGCCTCAGTCTAGGCTAAGACATGACTGCTGGTTTGATTGGCCCCATGTGCTGGACCCACCCCAGCATAACCAAGTTTGAGTTTTAGAAAAAAGAGAGAGAGAAAACCCACAGCATTTCTGGATATGAGCGGGTGACGTTTGCACCTGTCCGGCAACATCCAGACACTGCAGGGCTTACCTGCCCAGCTCCAACGGGAAAGGGTGTAGAGGCTGGATGAACTTCCAGGGTTTTGGTTTTGAATCCTTACCTGGTTTTGAAAATGGAACAGGTCCAAGCTTCTACTTGCACCAACTAGGTCCAAGTTTGTGCCCAGCACCAATCAAGTCTTGGAAACATGTGGTTTGGAAAATGGACCAATCAGGTTTGAAAGGTGGGTACCTGGAAAGGGGATGCAAGAAGATGCTAGACTTCAGAGTTAGGCTGGAGAAAAACTTCAGGAAGTTTTGTGAAGAGAGACTTCGGCTTCAGGAGGAGGTTAAAATTTTAACATATCTTTTTGGTGGTTACAAGTTAATGCTCAAAATACACACAAAATAAGAGAGCAGTGATATTAAATGTGGGCCAAGGAAAAATTATTGTGAAAATATATGTCAAAATGCCTTCATACTCTTGTAAGCAGGTAATAGATTTAACGATCAACATTAAAAGAAAAATCTGAAGCCTTAAAATTCAGTGTCCATGAGATAAAAAAAAAAAAAATCTAATTTAGAAAAGCACAAGTATTGCTGATACCAAGACCTGAAAGACATAAATCCCCAGTTTAAGAATATGCATAAGATTATTTCTTTACAAGAAAAAAATCGGACTGAACAAAAATAAATCTTTGTTTTCTTTACTTGCATTTACATACTTCACTATAAAATAGCTTTAAATACAGAATTACAAAACTGATTGATAAACGGGGGAAATTATGTTTTACAAGTCATGTAAATTGAAAGGTCATATTAAATAGGATATGCAAATAGTCATGAAAATTGCTACAAATGCACAGTTTAGTGACTCCCCAGTCAAGGAGGTGTTCAGGGAAATATTATTCAGGGAAAATCTTGGAGGCACAGAGTAAGCACTGCTACATTTAGAATGCCAGCATCTGGTGGGAATGCAAGCTGGTCTAGCCACTACAGAAAGCTGTGTGGAGGTTCCTCAAAACACTAAAAATGGATCTACCATGTGACCCAGCAATTCCACTCCTAGAAATCTACTAAAGGACACACAAATACTAATTTGAAAAGAAACCTCCATGCCTATGATTATTGTGGCACTATTTACAATAGCTGAGATATAGAATCAACCCAAATGCCCTAAAATAGATGAATGCATCAAGAATATGTGGTATATATATACAATGGAATACTACTCAGCAATCAAAAATGATAAATTTATGCCATTTGGGGCAATGTGGGCAGAGCTGGAAGGCATTATGCTAAGCAAAATAAATCAGGAGAAAAGAGATAAATACTGCATGGTTTCACATATATGTAGAATATAGAGAAACCAAACAAAAGATCAGGGAGAAAAAAGACAAAACTTGCAAGCTGAATATAGATCAAAGGCATACCTCAGGGGGGAGATAGGGGGGTCAATATGGGGAAAGGAACAGCACAAGGGACTATGGTGATGGAACACGGGTGTTATGGTGGTAGCATAAGTACAGGGACTACACCAGAGGGAAGAAATCAAATACTATCCAAAATTTAACAGACATAAGGAAATAAATTTAAAAAAAAAATTAAAAAAATAAAATGCCAGCATCTTAACAGGCACAATGCTATGGGAACTTTCAGTTCAGATGACAAAGATTTTTCTGCAAATGTTCCAATTATACAATAGATATCAGTAGCAAAATAAGACTTCATTTCTATGGACTCACTTTAAAGCTTAATGTGTTGAAAGAGCTTGGAAAGTAAGTGGGACTGGATTTTTTAAACATATCACCTTTATTCCAAATCTTTGTTGTTTTTAATGGTGGCACTTTATTTCAGGTGTGCATGTTTGGAGGTTTTCTTTTCTAAATTCTGGCAATAGGGGCCTGGTTCCCAGACTCCACTTTGCTCAGTATACTATAAAAAAAAAGTCATGCTGTTTTCAAAATCTTAAATTGTTAGGCTTTAGTTTTTATAAAATTTCTTTATTACTCCATTCAGGCTGTTTTAGAAAACTACCACAGAATAGACGTGGTAGTTAAAAACTTACTTTTTGGGCCTCCCCGGTTGGCGCAGCAGTTGAGCGCAGGGTTGCAAAGCTGTCTGCAGCCTCTGCAAGGCCAGTTCGATCCCCGGCCACTGGGCGAGGGTCCCACGTGGTGCGCAGACCTCTCCTGCTGCCCGCTGCTCCCCTCAGCAGTGTACTTCGTCAGTCTGCCTGCTCTGCTCTCCCCTCTGGCTCTCGTGAATTCTCTCACCCTCCCGTGCCTCTGACTGTACCCAGGCTTATATAAATAAATAAATAAATCTTTAAAAAAAAAACTTATTTCTCAAGTTTTCATAGACTAGAAGTTTCAGATCAGGGAGCTGGCATGATGAGGGGCCTCCTCCATTCACATCACAGACTTCCCATTGGCCCCACACATGGTGGAGGGGAAATGGGAGATTTGTAGGGTCTTTTTTATAAGATCACTAATCCCAGTCATGAGAGTTCCATCTTCATGACCTAAGTGCTTGCCAAAGGCCCCATCTTTTAACACTATCATGTTAGGCATTAGAATTCCAACATATGAACTCTGAAGGGACACCAGCAAACAATAGCATAAGATTTAGATCCACAGGGCAGACCAAAAAATAAAAAGTGCTCCCCCGAATATAGTCATGACTTGCTCCCTAGGACCAGTTAACATTTCCTTATATTGCAACACATATAATTAAGGGTTTTAAGGAGGGTTTTACTGGATTGTCCAAGTTAGCCTAAATGAAATCACACAGGCCATTATAATCCAGGGAGATTAGACACAAACAATCACAGGTGATGTGGATAGGACTAGACAGGACAAGTAAAGAATGCTGACAACCACAAGAAGCTGGAAAAGGTAAGAAGCAGATTCTCCCCTGAGAGGTTCTACAGGGAGCCTGGGTCTCTATTCTAGACTCCCAGCATTCAGAACTACAAGAAAGTTTCCTTATAAAAACTCAGGAAATAAAAAGGGAGGTGATAGGAAAATAGCCCTAGCCCCCTTCAAATGAATGTATCTCTTCTATGGAGACCTGCAGTTATCAAAACCTCCCAGACAGGTGCCAAAGAAGGCATTCCTGCTTTATACACAGCATTCAAACACTTAGCAAACACCTCACACTGTGTGATTTCTCCATTCATCAGATTAAAAAGCTGACTTGCCCAAGATTATACAAAGACAGTACAGAGAAGACCCAGGATTTAAACCCCAATGTACTCAACTCTAAATATCCCATTTCTGCAAAGGTATACCTCACCCCTGCTTCTCATTCTCATCTCCTCATCCAACTGCTGAGCACACTTGAAACCATATTTCTTTTCCTCTTAACCAATTGCAAAATATCCCTCCATACACCCAAAGGTGAACCAGCTGTGTTCCTGACTTCATAGGGAATGAACATAAAAAATGATCCACAAAACAACGTTTCAAATACCATTTGAGACCTTTTTTATACTCTCCCGAATTCCTAAGGTCAGCTTCTTATTGCCTCCAAATCCAGCAACAATTGGAATGTAGGGGAACCAAGGGTGAAAACAAAGAAATAAATAAATAAAATCTCACATCTTCATCCTCATCATCACCTCCTGAATTCCTAGATACTGACCCTAAGCTACATAAACAGGTTGCTCCTCCACTGCAGAATAGCCCAGATTTACCCCAGATTAGACAAACTGCCAGCAATTCCCTGCCTTCCAGGGCCACAACCTTGTCTTAGTAAAAAGTGAATCGGCAATGACTGGCTCTGCCTCCTCCGTCCTGTCACGCTCACTCTTTCTCCTGACTTTTGCACCTGCTCCCCTGGCATCTGGCCTTGATTCGCTCTGAGACCTCAGTGTGTCTCCTGAGGCCAGGGAGCTGCTAACAAATCTTCAGTCTCTTTGAGATTTGTATGTACACACACAAACACAGCCACACACACATGGAACTTTTATAGATATTTATTTCTTGAAGTACAAAATGACAGGTGTGCAAGAATATAAACTTATTTTTTTATAGTTAAAAATAATCTAGACTTCAAGCCCACATTTCTGCTAATGAAAGGAAAAGAAGGAGGTCTCGCCAGTGGCGCAGCGGTTGAGCACTGGGTTGAGAAGCTGCCTGCAGCCTCTGCAGCGCTAGTTCAATCCCCGGCTGTTCCCCGGCCACCGGAGGAGGGTCCCACATGGCACGCAGACCTCTCCTGCCGCCCACTGCTCCCCTCAGCAGTGTACTTCCACAGTCTGCCTGTTCTGCTGCCCGTTCTGGCTCTGGTGAATTCTCTCACCCTCCCGCGCTTCTGACTGTACCCAGTGCTTGTATAAATAAATAAATAAATCTTAAAAAAAAAAAAGGAAAAGGAGTCTTCTATTTTCAAACGCAGGCTCTTACCCTAAACCACAGAGCATGCAAGACTCAAGAGGCTTTAGGGAAAGTTAAGAAGGTCCTTTAAATGGACCACATAGAAATTAGAGGTCTTTGAAGACCAATTGCTCCTTTGCCCCCACCCCCTGTATCCCCAGTTCTTCCTCCTAGGAAAAATGTGTACTCTCATAATTTATGCATCATCCTGGCTTGGGGACAGAGATTCTGATCTGAGAGCACTTCCCTTGCCCTAAACCGCAAACCTCATCTTCCTGTCTGTTTTCACCCTTTTGCTGCTATATTGGAATTGCTGTCCCCAGGTGGTAAAGGAACGTGGTCTCTAGATCAAAGGTCGTTCAAGCTCTGTTCTGGGAGTTCTACTTTCTTGATGCTCCCTCAGTATTTACGAGAACTTCTGTTTCACTGAGACGTCCATTCTTCTGAGTGTCTTCTAGTAAACCCACTGTCTTAGTACCCTGGTGGCCTCTGTTATATGAAAATCTCATAGTTGTCACCACATTTCATATTCCCTCAAGTGCAGGCAACGTTTCAGAATTCCTAGATGTACGTAAGGAGCAAAGAATTTGAAAGTGAGGCGTGGAAGCAGGTAACTCAGACCCTCTCCCTTTGAAGCATCACACCCCTTCCTCCTTCCATGAAGGCAGCTACACTCAGTTCCAGGCAAAAAGTGCACACCAGCTCTTCTTCCTTTCACAGCCTTCAGGCAACATAGGCGTCCTCATCTCTTATTCCAGGCTGTCATTGCTGAAGACCCTCTCCAGCATTTACACTCAAGTTCTCCTTTGAAAATCCTCCCTGAGCGCCTCCCTTAAAAATCTAACAAGGCCCTCTATCTCTCAGTGAACAAGAAAACTTCACCTAAGTGATCTTGAGGCTTCCCTCATCTCTGGTTCATTATAAACTCAGAGCCCGCAGTCACTAGGCTTTGCTTTTGGTTTACCAAGTCAAAATGAATTTCAGTGAAACCCTTTTTCCTCAAGTGGAAAAAAAGTATTGTAGCTACCCCCAAAATGCCAAAACATTAATTAAAAAGAAAACATGCACTCCCATGTTTATAGCAGCACTGTTTACAATAGCCAAGATATGGAAACAACCTAACTGCCCCAAAACAGATGAGTGAGTCAGGAAGATGCGGGATACATACAAAATGGATTACTACTCAGCAATCAAAAAAGATCAACTCATGCCATTTGCTGCAACATAGATGGAGCTGGAAAGGCTTATACTAAGTGAAATAAGCCAGATTAAGATAAATGATGGATGGTGTGTCACTTACTTATAGGTGGAATATAGAAAAAAGAAACAAAGGGTCAAACACAAACTTGAAAATGGACTGTAGATCTTTGGCTTTCAGAGGGGGAGCGGGAGAGGAAGGGAATGGTACGTTATGGGAGGTTGGAGGGAGAAAACAGGACAGGGTGGAGGAATGTGGGTGCTTTGGTGGTAGGAGGGCTATGGTGACTACATGTGAGTGGGGCCAATGCTATACTGTCAAAACACCAGCACAGATATAAAATAATGGGATTTCAATGACAATTTTAAAAAAGCATTATGGCTTTTAGAGTATTGCGTCTACTGTGGATTGCAAAAACAGGATGACATTTGTAGCCAAGTGAGGACAACTTTGTCCCTGGTGGTTGAGTCTGGAATCCTTAAGAACCAGCAAATGCCACTGCTTGAATGGATGGGATGTCTTGCTTATAATTGGGGATTACTAGAAATGAAAGATGCATTTATTTGTTTTTAAAGATGTTATTTTGCAACATTATATAAATAATCTAGGTTTATGATATGGTTTTCAACTTTAAGTAATACTAATATTTTAATGGTGCTATTTCTCCCTCCTGAAAAGATAGTGCTTAAATTTCTTTATTTTGTTTCATTTGAAATCAAAATAATACATTTATTTGTTCATTATGATTTCAGAGTAGTTTATGCATTTAGACTCTGCTATAATATTGAATATCAAAATTAATAATACTATTTTAAAAGATGTACACATTTGCAGATTGCTTAATTACTTTTACATTTTTATCACATTTATTGTTGAAATATAATAGCAATAGTTGAGTAAAAAAGTGGAATCATCCTTAGTTTCACCATCCTCTATGACTAAGGGGATATGCCACACTCTGCTAAACTAATTCCATATTATTGCATATTAACTTTATCTTTTTCTAATTTTAAATTTTTATGGATAATGACAATAAATTTGCATGCATATATGTTTTCTTTATTCAATTACTGACCTGTGATCAAATGCCACGACTTTTATTTCGAGTCAAAGGGTAGAAGTGACTCCAATAGGGTTTTTCCACATGGCACAAAGGTTACCCCAAATCTTCACTTGCTATTTATGAAGTTAAGAAAGATAACTGCAATAAAAAGAAGTTTTATTAAAGTGTCATTACTTTTTTTAACAAGAAAATGACCTACTTTTTCTCTTTGTCTGTTTATACAACATGTCATAAAAGATCCTTGGAAGTTGAACTGGCCTAAACTCAGTAACCTATAATGCTACTTACAGTCTTTTTTCTCCTAGAGTTTCAGAGTTCAAGCAAATTTATTGACACATAGCTAGAAGACAAAGTACAAGTGAGAGAAGTTTTTTATGTGACCTCACACGTAGATAAAACACTAAATAAGAGTAAGTATGTCATAAAATAGGTAGTAAATTTATAAAATGAAATTGCTTCTACAGGTTATTCTATTTAACGTGAGTCACTGTAGTAAATATTAGACCTGAATACCAATGAAAGTGTGGATAAGCTGTGTGTCTATCTATATATATATGTCTTTAAACTGAAAGACATCTTTGAAATTTGACACAACCTTTTATATCAACACTAGGGTTTTTTTTTTTTTTAGAACTTTTCAGAATGTATCTGATCTTAACAGCATTACCAAAAACTATGTTCATAGATCCCTAAACCAACTAACAGAAAGACCAATGTCATAGTGTCATTCACACCATTATTTATGAAACATATTTGTTGGTTCCCAGTGATTTTATGAAGAAAATAAAAACAGAATAGAAAAATTGGAAAGCTACTGAACTGCTATTGTTGCTATAGATATTATACATTTGCATTGCTCAGAGGTACAAAATGAAGCCAACCCATGTGAAAATGTCTTTTTCTATGCCCAGTGGAATGCATTCTAGGACTTCAAGGTCTAAAAATCTGAATTAACAATTGAGTTTTGCCACCAAGATGAGACTTGGCCTTCTCTCTCAGCTTTAATTTGAATACAACCACGGGAAGGGGTGAACAAGATGGCTTCTTAGAGCTTTTAAGGACTTCTAGCCCTATCATCCTATGGAAATGGCATCAATAGCAGCGTAACCTCAGCACAAATAACTCAAAGAAAATTGCCAGTATAATATGTTGTAACTAAAATGACAAGCCAAATGAGCAACATACACAGAAATCCCTTCATCTTGCTCTGAAGATTTGCTCAGTGTCAAATACAGCCAATATTCATAGCATAAAAATCTGCATCACGTTTTGATATTAGTGAGCTGCAAAACAATGGATGTTATAACTACATTAAGCAATCACTACTTATGGGCCTCTAGAGAAATTATTTTAATGAAACCATTTCCAGGAATGTAACTTTACAGATCAAAAAAAAGGAAAAAAGAAAAAGTAAAGGTCAAGTGCAAAATCAGATCTCATCATTTGCTCTGTTCACCATTTCTGTTCCACTTCTGGTTCTGCCTCCTCTTGAAGCCTTTTCCAGAGCCCTCAGAAGTCACAAGCACCCCCAGCCTCTCTCTCCGATTGTTCTACCTTCTTCATTGACCTTATCCCAACTTAAAATCACATAGCTCTCCAACTTTCATTACTGTTGAGTATATATTTGTACTTTTATCTCCTACTAGATTTTAAATTCCTTTTCATTTACTATCTTCATATTGCTTATAACAGTCACCATCTTAGTGGTAAGTATTGCTCCTTACTATTTAAAGCAATAAATTAATTCATTAGCTCAATGGTGTATTATTTCCAATAAAGGTATTCATTTGAGTAAGTGGTGATGCCAAGCTACCCAATCAGTCTACAGCAGCATACAATAAAAACCATATTTCTTATTTGATTCTCATGGTACATCTGGACAACATAAGCTGTAGCTATGAGGTCATGGAAATCATGAAAATACTTGTGCCAATACACAAAGATGAACCCATGAAAGGCTTCTCTAAGAGTTTATATTCTGAGCATTTCTTTCAAATTTTCCCCTTGTAGAATTGCAAGACCTTTATTATAGCTCTACTAGGTTAGGGAAAAAAAATACACCTTCATTTTTCTCTCATAGAAACAATTTTATCCACCCTGAACTTGGGCCAATCCATTTCGGAACTCACTACTCTGTAATGTTTGCATGGGCAGGGACCTTGGAGGAGGCAATTCTTACAAAGAACAGTCCTCAAAAAGATCTCAAAGACCAGAGCCAAAGGCAAAATCAGGGCACTTTTTCCTAATCACAACAACTCGCCAGGGAGTTTATTATCCGTACAATAGTCAACACAAATCAAATTCATAAAACATTTTGAGTCATTAAAATTAAACTTAGTCTGTAGCTGTAGTGTTAGAAAATACTGGATGAAGACATATTGTATATGTCTTCATAAATAAACTCATTGACTTGACTTAATTTTTCTTTTTTAGATAAAAGTATGTAATGAGTCAAGAAGAAAATAGTATCAACTATGAAAAAGTCATAATGTTCATGGATATTTGCAAAAATCTATGTCTTCAAATGAATTAAAACATAAATCTATAGAACATTTTTTTTTAAAGTTTTATTCATTTATGCATACAAGATCTGGGGTACAGGCCAGAGATGTGGGGGTGAGAGGATTCACCAGAGACAGAGTGGGGAACAGAACAAGCAGACTGACTGAAATACACTGCTGAGGAAAGCAGCGGGCAAGCCAGAGAGGTCTGCTGCGCCATTTGGGTTGCTCCCTGGCAGAGAATCGAACTTGTGCTGCAAAGGCTGCGGACTGCTTCACACTGCACTGCTGAACCCCTTGTGCCACCAGGAAGGCCCCCTAAAGAACATTTTAAAAGGGTTTATCTGTTGCTCTATCAAGTTTCTTACTACTTTGATTATACATTGTTTTATGTTTGAGTTTCACTTTCCACAAGTGAAATGACAGCAGAACTCAGAACAAATTACTTGCCCAAATTTTGCCCCAAATTGAAATGAGGAAGTTTTTGGATTGTTCAAACCCTCTTTAACCTAATGTGCTGGACTTTCTAAGTTACAATTGGAGGGAACATTGGCAAGATTAGAGCAATATGGTCCACATAGCGATGGAGATAAAATCAAAGCCCTTGATCTAGTAGCTTAATGACTCTACATTCAATTGCTCAGCTAGATCAGATTGGGGAGTATGCCAGATATTTCTTTTGTCTCTCTCAAAATAAATGCAATTATCTGTATGTGTTAGATAATGCTGGTTAAATGAGAGACTGTAATCTAGCACAAAAAAAAAAAAAAAAAAAAAAACAGAAAAAGAATCTAAGACTAAGTCATGAAACACCTGTGAATTGTGGACAATATCTCTGACACCTGCCTTTATCTACCACGTATATAAATGTCTTAATAATAAAAATTCAGCTTAAGTTTACACTCTTGGTATGTTGCTCCCTATCTTCTTTCTCCAAATTTCTACAACACTTGTGCTCTCCAAATTATACAATTTAGGGAAAATTCAATGGCTGTGAATGTCTCCTCATGGTTCATCTGTTTTATCAATCACCACTTCGGGAAACTGTAAGTCTTGTGAAGGGAGGCAGTGCCTCTTTGCTTTGTTTGTCTTCTAAAGCCACTAGCACCATCTGCAGCACAGATCGGAAGTCCTGTCAATAGCTATAAAAATATAAAGCTGAAGTACAATCAACCCTCCTGAAAAGAAGTCTTGTTTTATAGTAAATGTCTTTATTTTAATATCAAATTAATATCTATTTAAATTAAAAGTAAATTTAATATCTCATTGGCATTTTTCAAAATGCTATACAAATTGCTAACTTGTTCCAATAATGGTAACCAACATGCTCAAGGGATACCTATGTGTTTGCTGTAAATCCTAATAGAATATGCATGTGATTTTAATGACTACCTGAGGTCTATGCTACCTAAGATGCATCAAGACACAAATATACGGGATGGGGAGAGAGATGTAATTATAAGCTTCACGTGTTTTGTATGCCTCTTCTTGCATACAGCTGCTATTATCTCTACTTATCATTGATGTGTCATTTAAAATTCTGGCAGCAATGATTATTCCTAATTATATATGGGAAAATAAATTGTAATATGTGTTTAATACAAACAGTCTATCACTTGGGTAGTCATGTCAAATGGTTAATTGTGTTTAAAACTAACAGGAACAGGTTAGGACACAGAAGTATAGCGTGAAAAGGCATCTTCCACTTTTCTTAATCTTGATTTAAAATTTAACCCAAATGTGTTAGTATTTTTACTAAATAATTGCATCACCATATAACACATAGAATTCTTTTTGATTAGATGACACATCTCCCTACACTTGCTTATGGATCCTTACAGGTATTAATCTCTTCCCTGTGATTTTCATCTCTTATATTTGGCCACATAGCTCTACCCCATGGTATGACAGGCCAAGGAATCCATCACTGAGCTTCAGCCCAGGCAGTCTCTAACTGTTAAGATATTTGGGCAATTAATTTCCAAAGAAAACTCAGTTTAGTTTTTTTTCCCAATCTCTCTTGATCATTCTGGCTTTGCACTGGCTTACCTCTGCCTTGTAAGTAACAAATATTCCTTCAAATAAGACCAAAGCAATTAAGTATTTAAAATAAAACCTGTATTCTGCAATCATCCTATTAGAAAGAATTACTTACCCTGAGTGCATGGACATGCTGCTATTTATAAAACAGACTTGGCTAGTATTGCTCCTTAGCTAAATGCCATCAGTGTTAATAAATTTAGAAAAATGAAATCAATGAGCACAAAAGTAACATTATGGACCCTCAAAATATTCCCAGACTTGTGCAAATCTGCGTGTGACCACGTGGCAACTATTTATTGACAAAAGCTTATTTCCTTTGCAAGGAAACATAAGGGTTCCCATCAATGACTGCTATATTTTCTCTATAAAATAAGATATTCAGCAGGTGAAATTTCAGGACTGCTATTTTTCAGGCCCTCATGGTGACTTTGAGAGGTCATTCATACCTCTCCAATCTTTTACACATCATGAAAGCCAAGCCTTTCAAATTGTAATGTCCTGCAGTCAAAAATAAGGGGACACATGATACAGGAAGTTACTATGGCCAGTCAACCCATCTGCAGTGCAATTGCTGCTTCTCCCAGCAGCTGACTT